TAAATAAATAATTAAATAAATAAATAAATAAGAGATCCAGTTCCCTTGCAGGAAATGGCAGCGCTGGAAAGTCGGCTCTGTGATATCACATCCCGGCTGAGTAACCTCCCCCCTTCCCCAAACTTCACCCTCCCCAGTCTCCACCCTTAAATATCCAGGAATTTCCAGCCTGGAGTTGGCAACCCTGGGGGAAGGGAGTGCTGAGCACCCCTCTAGGCTCCTCCCGACTGACCGTTCGGTGCGTGTTCGTTGCAGAGTTCGCTCTCGCAGTGCTCCTCCGCCAAAAACACAACCTGGTTGTGGGAGAGGTACGAAACAGAATTGTTGGCCTTCCCGCTCACGTCGCAGTCCTTGTGGTAGTATGTCGAGATCCCCGATCCTGCAGGGGGACAGGGAGGGAGAATTAGGAAGATTTTAAACTGCGGCTCAATACATTCTTCACGCGTGGCTCGAGCCCGGTGTCACCCTTTGCCTTAACAGACACAAGCAAGAGGAAAGCTGCAATGGATCCTAGCCTTGCCTCTTCCCTTGTGTTTCAGGTAGATTGTCCAGTTATGTTTTATAGCAGCATCTAATGCATATGTGTGGAGCTGCGGTGGCTCAAGTGGTTAAGACGCTGAACTGCAGGCTGTGGAAGGTCAGTAGTTCAGCAGTTCGAGACCCGAGTGTGCCGCATGACGGAGTGAGCTCCCGTCTCTAGTTCCAGCTCCTGCCAACCTAGCAGTTCGAAAGCAAGAAATTGCAAGTAGATAAATAGGTACCACTTCAGTGGGAAGGTAACAGCGTTCCGTGCGCCTCGGTGTTTAGTCATGCCGGCCACATAACCACGGAAACGTCTTCGGACAGCGCTGGCTCTTCGGCTTTGAAACGGAGATGAGCACCGCAACCCTAGAGTCGGACTCGACTGGCTTTCGAGCAAGGGACACTTCACCTTTACCTTTAATGCATGTGTGGTTATCTTTTTTTTTATGACTTTAAAAAAAATTGGGAGGAGCAGTCCTTAGAACTGTTTCGCGAGTTAACTTGAGCCACCATGTATGGTGGGATACATGTATTTAATGAAATGAAAGAACAGCCATAAACATTTGAAATAGGGTTGCAAAATTGCTTAGGAGACTGGAGGTGGGTGACCATACAGGTACTGGCCAGTGGGTACCCACCACAATCAGATTTCCCCTCATTTGCAGATCTAGGTGTTTTAGTTCAAACTTTCACCAGCGTATTAAAATACACCTATATTTCCAGCTAGATATGAGTCCAGTAGCACCTTAGAAACCAACCAGATTTTTCAGGGTATGAACCTTTCAGGGTATAAACTCAAACCCTGGAAATCTGGTTGGTTTCCAAGGTGCTACTGGGCTCGTATTTAGGTGTCCTACTGCAGACCAACATGGTTACCCTCTGAAAGATATAATTCCAGGACCGCTAAGTGGTTTTCAAAGTACCCCTCCCACATTTTATAGGCTACCTCTTTCTTTATATGCATTTGCTTTGATTCCCCCCCCCCCCCCAGCTTCAGTGTATTAGTTTCAGCTGGAATCCTGGTCACATATAGCTACCCCAAGGTGTTTTCATACTTCGGGTGGAAAATCCATGAATTAACATGGCACTCGGGTTTTCCTTAGGGTTACATATTGATGTCACGTTGTCCCTGAGAAGGCCATTTTACTTGCGCTCTTAGGATCTAAACTGGAAGGTACATATTGGTACTAATGTTATTTCCAGTATATGCAACTACTTCTGACACAAGGCCAGATACATTTGTGGCCCTACAGATAAAAATCTTTTGGTGTGTCATTCAGTTCCAAATTGGAACATTCCATTTTTGGTCCTCTATTATTAATTGTTTATTGCCTTACATGTGTTACAGGGACTTTGTTGCATGGTGTATTTTGTACTCTGTGCTATTCAGGGCTATTTTTGGGCAGGAACGGAGTTCCGGCTGGCTTCAGAGTTGGCCACGCCCACTACAGCCAAAACCTCTGCGTGCGCAGCTACAGAGGGAAGGCCTGGAGAGCGACCCCCCCCCGGTGACTTTGAGGCGGGCGGGTCAGGGGGGACCTTGAAGGATTGGGGAGGCATTTAAATGCCTCCCCGTGCCTTCCACGGCCTGTCATTTAAATGCCTCCCGTGCCTTCCACGCGGGGCACCCGGACAAGCCAAGGGAAGGCATGGGGTGTGGCCTAATATTCTAATGAGCTGTACTGTTAGGGTGTGGCCTAATATGCTAATGAGTTTCTGGTGTTGGGTGTGGCCTATTACACTAATGAGCTCCTGCTGGGCTTTTTCTACGAAAAAAGCCCTGGTGCTATTTGAAGAAGGCTCTTGTGAACCAAAACATGTCAGGTCATACCCTTTTTTTTTTGTGTGCAGTTATCACTTTGAACATTTTCTGAGGCTCTATTTGGGGCCCTACAAGGTTTTTATATCTCTGAAACAAACACACTTTTGTCTATTCCTATTTATGTTTTTACTTTTGGGCCCTTAACAAGTTTTCTAAACTTCCTTTTGAGGTTTTTGCTTGCTTGGTTTAGTTTTTCTTCTCCCCCTTTTTGTGGGTGCATATAATCTGGATGTGCCCTTTGTTCCCAGAAGTGGATGTGGGATGGAGTGATATTTTACAACATTTATCAGCAAAGGCAGACATAAACACACATCTAGCTTCATCCACCAAATGCCAACTGCAGACTCAATTTACCGCGGGTCTGTGCATTAGGGCTATTTTTGGGCAGGAACACACAGGAACGGAGTTCCGGCTGGCTCCCAAGTTGGCCACACCCAGCAGGAACTCATTAGCATAATAGGCCACACCCAACAGCAGGAACCCATTAGGATTGGCTACATTAGGGGTGTGTGGCCTAACATGCAAAGGAGTTCTTGCTACAAAAAAGCCCTGGGTTTTGACAACAAACAAGGTGAAAAGAATAAGAAGCAAAAGGTGGGTGTGGCTGGATAACCACACTTCTGGTAACACGGGGGTGCAGCCTAATGTGCTAATGAGCTGTGCTGTCAGGGGTGTGGCCCAATATGCTAATGAGTTTCTGCTTTTGGGTGTGGCATATTATGCTAATGAGTTCCTGCTGGGCTTTTTTTACAAAAAGAGCCCTGAAAGACTCTTCAGTCTCCATTCGGCTTAGCTGTTCAGAATCCACACTCCCACTTTGCTACAAGTATTCTAAAGGAGAAAAGATGTGTCCTTTAAAAGCACGCGTTTATTTCCCTTTACAATGCCTACAGATGCCGGGAGCCGGATTTCAAACAGCAAAACTGGGTGGAAGGTGAAAGGTTCAAAACCCTTCTCTGCACAGTTGTGAGGCAAATTGAGGCTGCAATTGGCCTTTAATCGATGGAACAAGCCATGTGAACCATCTTCTCTCGGTTTGAGTGTTTTAGGGAATGGGTAGAGAAGACCTCTTTACCACACCCGTGACCTTCTGCGAAACTCACGGGTTAACGTTGTCATGACGGTAGTGCGGCATCGATCCTGATGTTCCGGGCAGACGCGTGCTTCCAGGCAGTTGCTGTCCCCATCACAAGAGTAGCACTGGAGACCGAGGACTACAAGACAAGACCAAGAAGGGAAGCCATTAGGAGATTGATCCTGGAAGCAGCAAACGGGGCAAATGTGCGCAATTGTCCTGCGAGTTCTGGCTCTACCTCCCCCATCTCATAAAGCATCACGTTAAGGAGACATACGGTGATTATGCATCTGGAATTCGCTCCACATTTTCTCAACTGGGAGGAAGAAGTGCAGCTCAAAACCACATTCAGATACTCCGGGGCAATGCCGTACTGACTGCAAAGTCACCCCTGAATGGCCATAAAGTGGCCATAAATCTATGCAGAAAGTACCAGAAAATCCAACAATCAAAGAAATCAAAAGTGGCGTGATAGAAAAAATAACCTTTGGCCCCTGCCACACGGCAGGGAAAAGACGGGGCGAAGCGCGGCTTTTAAAAGCCGCGCCAAAAAAGAAACGCCCCGGCGGGATCCCACGGATCCCAGTTGCCGCGCGCCGTCGCTTCCCGGCACGATCAGATGCTGGGGAGGAAGATACCAGTCGGAGGGGGAGGCTGCCATACTGCGCATGCTCGAGCATGCGCAGTATGGCAGGGGGCCAGGGATGCGACAGCGGCAACACGCGCCGCCGATCCCACGGCCGGGATGAAGCGGACCATCCGGATGAACCACCGAAGGTAGGTGGTTCATCTTTGCCACGCTTCATTGGGGGAAGGGCCAGATTGGAGGCGGGAGCGCGACGCCAGCCAGATGTTGCCGTGGGATTGCGCCCGTTTGCTGCGCTTCCAATCTGGCCCGCTCCCGGCCCAAACTGCCTCGTATGAACAGGGCCTTTGATAA